AGATTCTGCTGTCTCTGAAACTTGGATCGCTAAAATCACACGCGTCATTCGAGTTTTCAAATTTCGAACTTCAAATTGTCAAGTGTTCAAATTGTATATTCTAAATTCGAATGCGTTGAATTTACACCTTCGAATTTTCCTTACAAACCATAACAAATTATTCCATTCCATATCACTCGTGTTTACACAGATAATTCACACGCTAATTCAGTTTTGAAGTAATTTTGATATCTTATCATAGATAGAGGGATATGTTTATTTTAGGGGTTGCAAGAAAAATGCAGCGTAGAAAACGCGATAAGCATAATCGTCGCGATTTCCCCCTGACATTAGCTTCGGTGTCTATCTTGCTCTCCACTCGCAACTTTTCTGCCGCGTATGCCATCGCCAACCTACACCGAGTCAGCATCTGATAGGCGTCGCCGGAACGCGTCGTTGTTACCGTTCAGTCTTAAGCTGGGATTAAAGACACGTTGGCTTTCTTAACCGCGATGAATATTCATCGAGATATTCGGAGGCACCGATAGAATAGCGGCCTGTTACGCAATCTCGTGTTCTAGAAACGTTCGAGCGAATTCAGACATTTTGACAGTAGAACTATCGAGCACTGAAATCGTCTTTGTAAAATTTCTGTGTGATGTAAGGTGTGGTTCTACACTAGAACTACCGAGCATTTAATACGATTAATATGTAATTCCTGTGAAAATTGTACAATAGATTATTTCCAGTTTCTTCAGACATTCATTATAGTACTGAAATGAAGCTATTTTCAAAATTATTTCGAATATTCAATGCTTCGAAGATATCGATAACTACTGAACAAAAGAATCGAAACCAGTCATTTTTACTGGTACGGTTCTAGTGTTAACACGAAAGTAGGCAATGGAAACACTTGCTCCGTCATGGTTTTTACAAAGTTATTTTTAAAGTGTTCTCCGTCCGTCCGATGGTATCTGTACAAATGACACGGTAGAGCGTTGTTGTCGTCCGAACGGAACTGTGCCGGTGTTCCTAGCGATTCGCGCACGCAATCGGTACCCGCGGAGCATCCTAACAGCGCCTCAATGCCGAACGGTGCCTCAAGGCTGATCCACGCGGATCACGAGCGCACCGTTGCGTTCCCATCGGAAAGTCATTGCCATTCCGCTGCGCGTTTCAACAGTGTCCACACACAGCCGCATCGGAAAGTGAGTTCACGTTTTCTGCAAACAGGGTTCGCGACTGTTCAATCGCCCCGTGACGATTTGTCGAATCGACGAATGACAGGACGGCGGATCATCCGGTGAAATAGATTTCGTTTCGGGAGCCGACCGGTCAACCGGTTTCCAGGACAGCGATATCCGTAGAGATCGAGTCGATAAAGAGATCAGGCCGTCGGTCGACTAACAGGCTCGGCGAATCGCGACCTTCGAGATTTCGTAATCGAGCCAGTTCCTAAAGGGACCGGGATGAAGTCATCATTCGCGGAACACGCTCGACCGAGCGAATGATTCGTGCCGATTCGCCCGCTGCCCGCTGGACTGCGACCGGCGAGAATCATTTGGACAAAGTGAACTTGAAACTAGGCGAGACTGTTCCCAGTGAACGTACCGAATTGACGTAGACGCTTTGACTCGCGCTTACACGCTTGAGCGGTCGCTGGTTACCATTCACGCTTTAGTTGACGACAGGCAAGTGCACATACGCTTGCCAGTCGAAAGAATCGACGATCAGGCTGAGAGTTTCTAATTGGTTCGGGTCGCTGCGGATTTTTTCGGATTAGTGTCCTTTTACACTTTGTATTTAAATAGCCGTTCCGCGTGCAGTTTTCTAATATCAAGCTGCTGCTATACTAGTATTCTGAAGATTATTTAAATTTAAAATGTATGCTTCGTTATATAATGACTGATACTTCTGAGAAATGATTAACCAACTAAGATCCGAATAAACTCACGCTTGCATTACAAAGAAATTTTACAAAGACGATCCCTTCAACCGCGTCACGTTTGTTTCCAAGATGCCATATACATTCTATCGATCAAACGATCAACAGCTCGTCAAATGAAACCTGAGAGCAATCGATCAACGAGCGCGTCGCAGCGTCCGGGACGTTCCTTTGTTTGGAATGAGTTGCTGCACTTGCCGGACACTCTGTATAGAAGCCAGACGATTATTATTCACGCGAGAAACCATTGAAAACTGGCACAGCTGAAAAATCCGCGTCGAAAGACCTTTGAACCCCTGGCCAGTGATTTACAGAGGCCGTAAACGTCCCGACAAGATGGCGGCTCGATGAGTTACTATCGGGGGTACGAGTTTTCCGACGAGCCACCTCTCGTTACGACAATGCGGTGCATTGTTTCTCGATCGTGAAAAGTTCGCGCCGCGTTCCCGTAGGATGGAGAGTGATATTTCGCGAGTGTTCCGATCGAGCACGACGGAGTCCGATTGCGCGCTCCGATCGGATTCGCCGTGGGAATTCTTGGACTACGAGCCGAGCAACGTGTGCATCGTCGAGACGCAATTCCGTGATTATATCGTCTACTACGTGGTGGACGACGAGTCCGCAAAAGTATTGGAGCAGTTTCAAGGTGGTTTCCAATCGAACCGAGGTATTTCTTTTTTTATTCACACGTCCCGCGACTGCGGTAAAGCCCCTCTACAAGTTCGTTCACCTGTTCGTAGTCTTCGAATATTCGATTCGCGGGCACGAACGAGATCGCACGGTTTTCAATGAGAAACTGTTCAATGATTACAGCCTGCCTGGTAGTTCATATGTTTATCGGTTACCAACTGTTAACCACTGTCTTTCGAATATTTTCAGTCGTCGGAAATTCAGATTTTCCGGTCTGTTCGTTCCACCGTTTCTTCAGAGTTTCATTAACGCGTTGACGTCAATGCTGTAGCCGTGCTGTGCTGAATGTAGGTGCGAATGACGGCAATGGCCGTCCTATATTCTTGATATTAGAAGTACAAAAATATAACAATTTTATTCCGAAAGTATGTAGTAATAAAGTATATCAAGTAATTAACGAAAGAAAAAGAATTGCTTCTGTCCATTACCATTTCAAAGCGTCGATGTATCGACAAATTTGGGACACCCTGTGTACACCGCGCGCAGAAAAACACCGTCCGTTATTACGCTGGTGCCCGCGGATCCCGATTATACACGGTGGCGAGCGTATTTCTGCGACTCACGGCGTGACGCGACCGAACAAATCGAAAGCACATGCCGACTCGGAACGCAAATGCATTTAATTGTCGGCAATTTAGTATCCTCGATCGCGACACGTGCTCAGGAGTCGAAGGAGCCGCGCTCGCCGAGGGAATCGTCCACCGTCCCGTATTAATTGCAACTATGTAGCCGTATCGGGCGACACGATCAATTGTCCGCGCCGTCTGTATCGATTTTCTCGGATCAATTCGTGCAACAGCCGAGGAGAACGCCGGAGTCGATCGGGATTCGCGCATCGAAGCGGAACGCGGTCGACGGGAACCTCGCGCCCGTGAAAATGGATGCCCAACTTTCCGCCATCTTCCTCCGCGACCAGCACAAGATGGCGGAGTGATACAATGGTAATTCAATGGACGGTAGATATTAATTTCGTGCCAGTAGCAATTCGAGATAACTTCGATACAAGTGACGGTAATTAAAATTTAACAAGTCTCGTAGTCATTTAACAGATCGCTGATTCGATGAGCGTTGCTCCGCGAATTTGAAGTAATTTAGTGTACCATTGATTATAAGAATCGTAATTTCACTTTTTTAATGTCGAATTAGACTTCACTTTACTTTGATTATCTGTTCATAATCATACGCAATTATTCCAACTATAATTCCCCGTCCAACGAGGAAATCGGTAACGTGCCCGAATAATCGTTCAGAGTAACCAATGGAATCCGGTGGATCACGAGTAAAAGGGTTGAACGTCCATTCTTGTTTGCCTTCGATTAATACTCGAGGCCGCTAATGGAGTTAACACGTTTAACGTTATTAACGAATGACTCGCCGCTCGGAAAGCTCGCGAGCGGTCGGGATAACCGGCGTCCATTCAGATTCCGCGAAAGCCCGGTCGACGCGTGCATTATTAACACGTTGCCTTCCGTCCGAACTGAAAATAAGTTATCCCAACATCGAGCCGACTTTCTCCGCGGCGGCTGAAAGGTTAGTATGATTCATGGATGCGGTGCTTGCCATTTTCATTAGGTAAACTGAGACCTTGAAGAATGCAGTTTGCGCGAACTGCGGCGGTCGGTCTGTCGGTCGGTAGAAAACCTGGTCGAGGAAAGAATATCCTTTCCAGAGAGACACTCGGAACGAGGAAGAGCACCGGAGAAAAATCGAATTTCTCTTTCGTTTCTGAGAATAAACGCAATTAAATTCCTCCGTTTATTAGGTCATCCGATTCTAGGTTTACGGAACGCGTGAATCTCAAGCATATTGAATTTGATTAACATTATTCGGTGAATACTAATTGCCTATTTTTAAACCTCCAATTCCAAAGATCGTAATGAAACGTACCTAACGACGCAGTACGGTGATTATTTCAAATTCATAGCGGATAATCGATGATAGGAAACGAGGTAATTACTGATCGCAGTCTTTAGAGAATGAAATATAGTCGTCGAAGGATTGGAACGAACAGAATAAAGGATCCTACTGGAATTACAGTAATTATGTTACTCTTGTATTAATAACGTGAATAATTACATAAATGTAAACCTCCGGTCAACCTCGATTTTCATCGATTATTGCTCGTTAATTGTTATTCGCCAGTTTAATCGACAGCAGAGCTACTGGATGGGACAACATTATTTCTCTATTGAAGTTGCAACGCTGCTTATTACTTTGTACTTTAATTTCTTTCATTATATTACACTTTGATGTACTTCAATCTTTATTTCTCAAATTATAAAGTCACTGGCAAATGACGGATAGTTCTACTGTTAACGAATCTTGTTAATTTAAGTTATTTTAATTCGAATAAAATTCATGAATTTGGTAATTACGTTGATTGCAGATTCGGACAGCGAAAGCAAAGATGGCTCGACCACCCAGGAGAAGAAGCACGGCCGCGTTTCGCAGCCTATCAGCACCATCGCCTACACGGTGAGTAACGATTCCGATGCGACCCACCTATCACAATAAAGGCACACCCTCGAGCTTTCGCGGTCGCCTAACATGGCGACACTCGTGCTTGCACCGTGTCAAACGGTGATCAATAGTTGCGAAGACGATTGGGTGTCAAGGATTATTATTAGTAATCTCTCTACCAACACTCGAACGAACATTCCATTAGAAATTCATTCGTTACGTTGCAACACTGTCGGTTAATACCTTTCATTCGAATTCTAATTTGAATGTTCGAATTTCACATTTCAAACCTGAATTTCTGCATTGTCAAGCTCCAACTCTGAACATTCGATTTGAATGCTCGAAAGTTCGAAGATTGACACATTTGTACGATCGATAGTCTGCAAATTTGCCATTTGAAATTCTCAACTGACGAACTATATTTTAAATTTCCGATTTCCCACTTTCATCGTTACTTTTACCTAACGCAAACCATGGCGACCAAGGATGCATGAATTCCTAACATTAAGTGTTCCACTTTTTCTACCGAAGAGAAACAAAGCAGTCGTCACGGTCGCATTAATCGTTCCAAAACGCGAGAGGATAATTAATGATCGACCGGTATCATTTTATACCGCTTAATGAGAACGGCGCGGGATCGAGTATCTCTGTGACAATGATGAATCATCCGCGATAAGTCTCCCACTGTCGCGAGCCTGCAGCGGCCGTGCGTTGCGCTGGCTGTTCGAACGAGACGCACGCCGGTTTCGTTGGACGAACTCATTTTTCTAGCCGGTTTTCGGTGTCGTTCGCGCGATAAATCTTCCCTGGAGGGAGTTTCATAGCTCTCGCTCAAATAGAGCATCGCGTTCCATCTCGGCGTTACGGTAGATCGTTCAAAGATCGATGGACAAATGTTCCTGTCGCATTCTTTCAACTTTGTTTGTGTCTGACGATATTCTACACACCTCGTTGTTCGTTATCTTTGCATTTTGTCCGTTGGATTTCTGAATTCTATAAGGCGACTGCTACTAATTAACGTTGCCAGTCTCGTTTTAAGACGAAACATTGAAACTTGCGAGTTTGAAATTAAAAAACGCAGAAATTCTAATCTCTCGAGAACCTCGACATTCGTAAAACGCCACGGACCGAAACTTTCACTCGCGAGGAAAATTCAACGTTTACTCGCGACCCGGACGAGCGCGTTCGCCGTGAAATTATTTTCGACCGCGGCCTCGGGAAATTACTGGAAATTCGTCGCGTGCCAAACTCTCGTTAGGCGACTCGTTTAACGCTGAAACTTCTGAACTGCTCCCCGGAAGACGCGGACACTTGCTATGCAACAGAAATTCCGTAAAGGGTTGGGGCAGCGTCGCTCGGATTCTGGAGCACCGACTGCTGGTAAACATGGCGTCCCTGGCGCGCGATGGATCGATCACGGAAATCGAACGATATTTCCTGTTGTGCTGCGGTCAACTGACACCGAAATCGTCGCCGCAACACACCAGAGAATTTGCCAATTTACTTGGGTCCAATAAATGAGAAATAAGAACGTTCGGGATGTAAATGCTTCGAGTGAACAATATATTATAATTTTGAATTGATTGACACTAACACTACCAGACGAGTCAAACTGACCCATGCCTGATGTCTTCCTCTTGCAATTATTAGAAAGGTAACAAATGTTTCTCTGAGAAATTATTAAAGAAATTCATTTAGCACTACGCAAATTGAATTGTAAATCAATGAAAGTCTGAACAGATGTACTCTTGGAGTTTCTATAGCGAAATTTTAAGAAGTCAATTTAATTTCTCGGTAGTCTTAATGTTAATTGGCGAAGGAAACGAGTGGACATCGAGAAGTCTGGACGAAGTACCCATGATTCCGATTTTCCAAATTGGACACTCGTAGAAAATTCAAGGAAAGAATACACGGTGAACATTGGATAACTGGAACACGAACCGAAGGAAAAAAACGCGCGTTTCGCTGTATTCGAGGTCCGTCTAACGACGACACGTGAGTCGAGCCACCCCGTGCGCAAAGAGTTTCGCAAACCGTCCGTCTGGCTGGGTCCGTTGCATGAGATGCGGCGAAGTTGTTCGGAACGGTTGCGCAACGACACGCTTCTTGTACTTTCTTGAGCGGCTGGCCGCGCGCGCGGTTCACGCTCACTTTCTCGCCTCGCAGACCCGTCACGACATTTCGCTGATTTCAAAGATGTTTTGAAAGACTTTGTACGAGTGTCTGGCGCAGGGAGAGGTGAAGGGAGAACGGCTGCAGACGGATAATAGAGAGAAGGGTACGTTTACAGTGGATAGAGGAGAGTATAGGGGGCTAAGGGGAAATGAGAGAGAAAGGGGAAGGTGAAAAAAAGGCAGTTGTGCACATTATAGTCTAATATAATATAATTTCACACTGGACTGATATTGATGTTACATTTGTGATATGCAGACCGCGTCGAATTAATTAACCCTTCGGATTTTTCGAAATATTCCAAATCTTCAGCAGAGAAAGTTCGATTACACGTGAAACCGTATACAGTAAATAGAGAGCTATCCATCGATCTTCTGTTACGCGAGTTACATTGTACGTTGCGAACTCTACCTCGGATACGAAAGTCTCCGAAATGTCCTGAAAGCGTTAACCCTTTGCACTCGAGAGGTGACTCAGTCACCACTTGATTTGACACAGTGAAACTATAGAATGTGATATTTAATGTAATGCCTCGATACGTGGAATATTCGAATAAAATAGCTTGTGACCTCCCTACAAGTTAGTTCCAAAGGATGTCGTCTTTGTTTTGTCAAGAAATGTTAAATATTTCTAGCGTGGAACAACGTGACCCAACGTTTACAATCGATTGAAATATCAAAAAACGAATCACAAGATTCCAAAATCCACGTAAAAGGTGAAAAACAGAAGGAAAACGCAAGTGACAGCAGTCCGTTTACAGTGATCCGCGATAAACGTCGGCGTTTCCATCGAAAACGGGCGCGAGCGAGCGAGATAACAGGGGAAACCGAGGCGGCTAAGAGGAACAGTTAGACGAGGGATGTTAATCGATCGACAGGGTGCGAGCGGCCGAAACGGACGCCCCAAAGCCTACAGGCTTTAATCGGGGAGCCGGGGCAACACTGATTACAGCGCGACACTTGGATTATAGGGCAATCACGGTCATTCCGGTACCGTTGCACGGGGATAATGGGAAGACCCGCTGGAATCGCCGACTCGGGGACACGCCATTAGGCCGGGCGCGTCCTTCCGTGGCCCCGGGACTTCCCGCGATAGTGCGGAACCGTTACCGCGCCGGGCCGGCCGATAATCTTACAAAGAGAACCGGAGGGGAATCCTTTTTAACCCTTTGCACTCGCAAGCAGAAGTACTAGAAATATTTTAAATATTTCGTGAAACTAACTCGAGGGGAAATTATACGTACATTGAAGAACAAAGCTATTTTATTCGAATATTTCACGTATCGAGGCATTATACAAAATTCAATATTAAACAGACTTTATAGTTCTATTGCGTCAGATGTTGGAAATTAAGTGATAGTTGGTAATTGTAATTGAGCTTGGAATTTGGATGATAGTTGATATTAGCGATTCAAGTTTAGATAGTAATTAATATTACTCGTTGAAGTTGAGATTTATATGATAATAATAGTGATTGAACTTCGATCTTGAATAACAGTCAATCATATGCGATAATTAAACGTCTCCAATTTCCAATCCTTTCTCCATCGAAGCTCTTCAGCACTGGATCTCGACGTAATTTCAGACGAAAAATAAATCAACTCAGCGGTTAGGAATATCTCACACGAGTATCGCCGATTGAGGAACGTGCAACCTTAATTCTCCGTTAATCGCCGCGAGTCCAAGCGAGTAGCGGATTACGTCGAGGATCTCGATAAGAATTTCTCTAGCGGATGATCGTCTCGGCGAGACGCTTTCCAGAGGGACGATCTCCAGATATTTTCGCTCTGTCGAATTAATTGACGCTTTCTTTTCCACGCCGCCAATTAACGGCCGTCGATTCATCGCCGACTTCGTTTCGAACGAACTCAGCCGAACGGTGGTTCGGAAAGCCTCCGAGGAATGCCGGGTACGAAATCGCCTTTCAGGAACCAGGCTTTGACGACGAACCGACGTCGAAACGGTGTCGCGAGTTCTCCTATCTTCTAAATTCGAGCAACTTAACGAGCAGCTATCTCAAAAGCCAACGGCGCGACGGCTCCGTTGAAAATCGAAGACGCGGAATTTCTCACTTTTCGCTTGGAAATCGAATCCTTAAATTAACGTTCACTTGAAACTTAATTACTCAAGCGCTTGCCGCTCGCCATATTCGATCGACACTTCTGCTTTCTGTAACCGTGATTAATCAATTACATCGATGACTGATACAGGATCTAAGTACTGTAGTTTTATAATTGCTAGAATAATTCCAAGAGTGAAATATCCGAAACGAGGAAAGTCTATTGCCACGGTTTTCATAAAGATTACGTACCAATTGCATCAAACACTCAATGTTTCCCGTGTTAACCCCTTGCCGTGCAATGAGACTCACGATGAAGATTTCTAAACCAATTTAACAAGAATCAATGTCGTTACCCACGAATCAAAGCAAACAACTATTTCACTTTATCAATGTATTATCTTCAAATGAAATTTCCACCAAGTAGAATGGAAAATTTTCTTGTATTTCCTACAAATTGTCGATAGTAAAATACTACACAAGCTAGTAACGAAAGTAAATACGTCAAGGGGTTAATTGAAAAAGTGGGTTCCTCCATCCTCCAGGAATTGGTCCACGGACTAATTCACGCCTAATAACGGCCCTATGCCGGATTACCAGGGTCGTTAATAAAAGTTAACGCTAATCGAAGCCGGTCGCAAATCGCGGATTAATGATCGAGTGTAATCTGGCCGAGTTGCTGGTATCGCGTTAATATCCGGGATATCGCGTTTATGTAGTGCGAGCAGTGTTGTGCATCATCCCGTTAAGACTTCCTTCGAATAACAATAACGAGTAAACAGTTC